GCACAGAGAAAGCAAAAGCCAGATGTGTTTTGTATTCATACCATCAGTGTGCAGTTGGCGCATTGTGTGCTTAGTAGATGATGGCTTGTGTGTACTGTTTGATACGGAAACACCATTTTTACGAAGGTGTAAAGAGTTAATCTAGCTGTGTTTGCAAGGGAACTACAATGTTTTGATTATTGGGTGACAGGTTTTCTTATTTGTGTGAAGAGTTTTACAAAATTAGCCAATAGTTACAAAAAATGTGCTTAAGCAATCAGAAAAAACTGTAATCAATGTATAAAAATAAAATAAAATGTATTTTTAGTGACACAGGACACAAACACGGAAACAAGATATATAATTAGGATTGTTTATAATAAACAATAAATCATTGCAATTTCTTTAACCATATAGAATAACTAAATCCTTCAGGACAATATAACATCAATGCACTGAACTCACTATGTTATCCCTCTAACAGAGCCTCCACGTGTTCTCACTGTAATTTCCCCCTCATGAATGAATATATGCTTGCACTAATTTGAATGTTCGGGGGGAAAATCAAACGCATTTTACTCGCAGTACTCAAGCTGACTTACCTCATTACCTCACACTTAGCTGACTCACAAATTATGTACCCAATATTTAGTGAATTGGATGTGTCCCTCCAGAAATGTATAATTGTAAAACTGGTTCACCTTCTACGCACTGACTCCACTGACAAGGTATGAAAATATATCAGGCTACGTCAATATCGGTAGGTCTTCAGGGTTTCTACTCCACGGCCGTATTTCATACAGTCCACATTTCCAATGCATGCTATTTGCTGCAAGTAACGTCTCTTTGCATCCGGACGCAATCTTTCTCTGTACTGTACTGAGAGTTGTGCTCCAATTCAAGAGAATTGTGTTCTAGGTTGGAAAAATTGTGCTTATAGGTTGGGAGAATTGTGCTCTAGGTATGGAAAATTGTGCTCCAGGTTGGGGGAACTTGTGTTTTAGGTTGGGCCAATTGTGCTCTGGGTTGGGAGAATTATGCTCCAGGTCGGGGGAATTGTCTCCTAGGTTGGGAGAATTGTGTTTTAGGTCGGGCCAACTTGTGCTCTGGGTTGGGAGAATTATGCTCCAGGTCGGGGGAATTGTCTCCTAGGTTGGGAGAATTGTGTTCTAGGTCGGGATAACTTGTGCTCTAGGGTTGGGAGAATTATGCTTCTAGGTTGGGAGAATTATGGTTCTTGGTTGGGAGAATTTTGCTCCAGGTCGGAGCACTCATAGTAGAGCCGCTGCTCCTCCACATCGAAAGGAGCCAGCTGAGGTGGTTCGGGCATCTGTCAAGGATGCCTCCTGGGCGCCTCCTGGGTGAGGTGTTCCGGGCATGTCCCACCGGGAGGAGGCCCTGGGGCGGACCCAGGACACGCTGGAGAGATTATATCTCTCGGCTGGCCTGGGAACGCCTTGGAGGAGGTGGCTGGGGAGAGGGAGGTCTGGGCTTCTCTGCTTAGGCTGCTGCCCCCGCGACCCGGCCCCAGATAAAGCGGATGAAGATGGATGGATGGAAAAAGTATTTGCAGCTCCCAGTTTTTTCTTTTGCGTGGAAACCGGGTCCAAATGGCTCTTTGGGTGTTAAAGGTTGCTGACCCCTGCCCTAACCCAAAGCCCACCAAAACAGCCCTAAACGAAACGAGGGAAACATGCTCACATCTGCTTTCCACCGCCAAGCCTAGGGAAGCCGAGCCCCTCGACCCAAACGAAACCACCGAAGCGTGCTCACATCTGCTTTCCACCGCAAAGCCTAGGGAAGCGGAAATTCTCGACCCAAACGAAACGAACGAAGCGAGCTCACAGCTACCTTTTAACTCTGAGCCCTGGCCTAATGTGTCTGTGAACATACACTACATGAGAAAGATGTGTGCCATTACTATAAAGGACACAGGTGATCAGCCCGCAGAACAACCTCGAGATGAGGTACCCGAATACCAAAGCCACAGCTGTTCGCCGCGCCATAGTCCTTACGACGAACCAAAAATGGCAAGGAAACAAATGAAAATGTCATGTTACGTTCTTAGTGTAGGCGTGCATTGAACGCAACAAGAAATTGCCCCCATTCACACACTACCCAAGAAAGAACACGAACAGTTGTTTCTTTTAAAGTGCTAAGCATCCATTTATTTGCTTCAGCAGTGAGCAGTGCCAAAAATAACAAACAAAACTCCCTAATGGTCCCTATGCTTTCCTACACAAATAAAAACCAACCAAAAGAAAATTCACTTACCTAACTTTCTAAACGAAAAACAGGAGAAAACTGGATCAACAAAAATGGCTTCTCACACCTACTAGGCTGCTGCAGTGAACAATATATACACAAGGTGAACAAAATACACAATTGCTACTTTACAAATCAATTTATAGCCATTTACAAGATTAAGGTCCAGTCCTCTGGAGAACATCAAGACATGTTGAGGAGGTAATTTAGCCATTTAAATCAGCTGTGTTGGATCAAAAACACATCTAAAGCCTCCAGGACACCGGCCCTTGAGGCCTGGAGTTCGACACCTGTGCTCTAAAGGATTCAAAGTATTCATCCAGGTAGTCCGGTAGCTTGTTTGACTTGTTTTCCTCAACATATATGATGACGTTGGTCGCTAGATGGATCACGGGTCCATCTCCCGTAAGACGCTCTTCAGTTCACTCAACACAGTGCCATTGCCGGCCCTATGGCCGTCATCACCATCACAATGAGATCCACAGCCACCGCCTATCAGCGTAATCTTAAATTCGTCGGTGACGTACAGACACTGCAATACACTGTTTACACCACAGTGAGTCCCAACAACGTTGATCAGTCCTCTCATGCTGTTATCCTGTGATACTGTGTATGTGGCTAAAACTGTTCAGTAGTCCGTTGTGTAGGGCTGCTCAATTAATCGAATTTTAATCACGATTACGATCTGGGCTTTCAACGATCATTAAAAATGACTGAGCCGATTATTAGCCCCTCCCTCATTTATCCGCGACACCTTAAAGGCCGGTCCGTGAAAATATTGTCGGGCATAAACCGTCCGTGGCGCAAAAAAGGTTGGAGACCGCTGATTAAGAGGACCCGAGGGAAGCTCGGAAAGCTAAGCAGAAATTATTTGGAGAGTGACTGCTGTTGGTTGAAAAGAGAGTTTAAAAAAAAAAAAACTTCAGTGGTGTTGCACACTATTTTATATTATTTTTTTAAAGTCATTGTTAACCCTTTAAAGCCGGTCAGAGCAGCAAGCTCCGTTTTGCGTAACTATTTTTAAATACCTGTAGAACCTGAACCGTGTAAGCTAGCGCAATAATTTGTTTTGCATATGAAACCGGAGGAGTTGTACTTACATCTTATGCCATCAGCTTGTCCTCGGTCACGGTTTCCTTCCACATATAGCTTTGCAAAAATTGCATAAAAAGCGCTTGCAGGAACAAAAACATAATATTCCAGAAACACGCTTTGCCGTTCCTATCAGCTGTGCGTAACACTTCCCACAGTAAAATGATGCACATGCTGTTTTCTTTGCAAATTTGCATCATAGGATTGTTTTTTGTTTTTCCTGCAGTATATAAAAATTGCTGTATCTCCAAAATAAAACTATGAAGACACTCAAAATAAATTTCCTGTTGTTGTAAACTATTTTTTGCAACTTTATTGTATTTAAAGTTTTGAGGGATAAACCTCTTAAATTTCTCCAAGTAGAAATATATGTAAACAAAACAAAAGCGATTTTCAATTTTTTTTGTAGTTTATTGCACTTTTTTGCAATTTATGTAATTACTATGGACTTAATGCATACATATTATTAAAATATGGGCTATAACAGTTGTATTGATGTATAGCAACTTGAAATGCTCCCACAAATGGCACTACAGCATGTAAAAAAAATAAAATAATATAAGCTCTGGTGGACTTGGTTCTATAGTAGGTCTTAAAGGGTTAAATAAATATCGTCAAATAATCGTGATCTCAATTTCAGTGAAAATAATCGTGATTATCATTTTTGCCATAATCGAGCAGCCCTACCGTTGTGTACAGGCGTAGTTGGTCGAGGGGCTTGAACACATGTCACTTTAGCTCATCCACACTTGGAATTCCTAAAAGCGCGCTAGCTTTTAGTGTGATCCTAGTCAGACCCAGAGTGCAGTCTAGAGTGGTAACCACAACCGCCGAACCCCATAACACCTTCGCCTTGCACGACAATATTTCGCACAAGATCTTTGATGAGTCCGCTGTGGTTGGGTGTCACATCAGCTGTATTTTTTTTCTTGTCTTTTTTTGCTGGTAGTTGGTAACCCTATTAGTTAGGTATATGTAATTATAAATTATGTTGATTTATATTTTTGCTAAGTACTGTTTATAATACTAGAATATCGAAGATGGTGTAGGTTTAAATTTCTAATAAGGCTTTATGACTTTTCCTATAATACCATGGTGGGCCGGTCACTAGTCAAAATGCACTGTCAAAGAAGACAGTACAGAAATATGAATGTATTTTAAACGTATGTGTTCAAGAACAATCTTTGGGCTAAAAACCCAAGTGAGAAAATACAATTGATTCAGGAGCAGGGAACACAGACATGTGTATTCCCCTTAGTCCACATGTGTGCACTGCAGATGTGGACAAAAGGGACACAAAGCCAGAACGTGTCCGTTCAAGCAGTGGTGGAGTGAGTGTTAAATCCCCAAACATCGAAACGTTAACTGCAGACTGAAACAACAACGGGACAATGCGTGAAACATTTACTAGTCAAGTGTCAAGGAGTACGCATTCCGGATGAGCCACAAGGACACAGAGATCCAATCAGGTGTAAAAAAGAAATGCCTGATGATGGTGGACTTGGGAGCAGTGTCGCGTATGATTACCAATATAACAAATTTCAAGAATTTCGACGACAGTTTCCAGGAGTGTGGGCTATTTTATTTGAAATTTGTTAAATGAGTTTTGTCTTTGAAGTGTTCAGAAATGGTGGAAGATTTCAAGGAATGTAGTACAACAATCCTTCATATAGTGGGTGGATATGAATAGTCTTTATTTTAGCACAAGTTAAACTCAACTTAGACACAATTGGTATAAGAGTAAGCATGTTAAATGATATCGTTTGTATTGGACAAGGTTAAAAAAAATACATATATATTTCCTGATGATATACATCAGTATGCTAACAAAACTCAAAACATCTGATGTTAAAAATGTAATCTAAAGTTAAAAAAAAAAAACAGACTTTATTCTATAAATCAATTACATATTGCAGAGCATGAACCGCACAAGACAAAATTTTCTATTTTCACCTCGTGCTGCAGAAACAGAAGTAATATTTTCCTATGCGTTTCATCATTGTAAAATTGTAATTAATAACTTTGTCATATTCACAGCTCAAATGGCTGCATCTTATTCACGGAACACCTGCGTGGTGACCACCGTCGAGGTGGCAGGGTGCTGGTTTTCCCTGATCTTCAGCTCACGATTCATCTGGCACCAAACACACGGGTAACACCAAAGTATCTTGCAGCAGTCATCACAGCACGAGCCCTGCAGGACAGAGAACAGGAAGAGGAAGAAGAGGAGAGAGTAACGGGATCGATCAGCAGAGTTAATGTTGTAACTCGTGTAATTAAATGGAATTTAGATTGTTTTTATTTATATGACACTGTAATTATATTTACATACAAATACTTAAAGTATAGGTGCACTAGAGAAAGAAGAGGGTAACAAGTTGGGTTTTTACAGGAATACAAAAAAATATGATACTAAGTAATTTACTGAAGTCAAATAAAATAGTTTTCACTCTTCATTTTAGTTTTTAGTTTAATTTTAGCTAGCTACAATAACTTTATCCATCCTCCACTCTCACACTTACAGGAATGTTGTAGCGCGCTCTGACGGACTTGCGAAGTAAGCAGGACACCACGCAGAAAACGTCCAGCAGTGGCATGCCACAGCACCATCCATGTTTACTGGCTGTCTGACACTGCATGCAGGGGAAACACCAATATGCACAGCAACCTCGAAGAAAAATATATACAAGTGAAATATCTGTGTTCATATACATCACTGCTGTTCATAGAGTTTGCTGGGTTAACTTACAGGTGCCCACATCAGCACAGCAATCACAGAGGCCGGTGCTCCAGTTCCCCAGGTGTTGATTACCGCCCATGACTGTCATCACCTGTGTGGGCTGCTGGTAGGCCATTCCTGAAGAAAATAGACAGAAAAAACAAGAGCCACGTAGAGAAAGGTTAAAGGGGTCATAGCTCATCTGTAAGGAGAAACCCAATCCAGACTATGAACTAATTTGAAGATAATCAGCTGCAAACACCCTTCTGTTGCAGACATCTATACATCCCGATCACAAGAGACTCCCCCCATCCTGCATCTCACCTTTTCGACCTGCTTCAGAGAAAGACTGGTTTGAACATAACTATCTGCAGTGTTGCTTCTGTAACATGTTCAGCGGAGTATTACTCCTGCGTTTAAGGCCCTACAGCGGTCTTTTTGGCACAGAAATTGCACGTGACCGTTTAAAAACCACAGAACTGTTTTTTCAAACTGCATTTCCAAAACATCTTAAACGTTTTTTCCTTTCTTGAAAAAACACACAGTTTGCTTTTGTAGTGGAAAATTTGTGTTTCCACTCATTTAACCTCTGTGTACTATTGGTATGTAGTTGTTTCTTTCCTTTTTTTTTTTTTTTTTTTTTTATTAATATTTTTGGATGGACAGAAACATTAATAAATAAATATACAACTGCAATGATCATACTGTCAGTTCTCTGTCCATTTCTAAACAAACAAACAAACTAAGACAAGCAAACAAACAACACACCAAAAAAAAAAAAAAAAAAAAAAAAAAAAAAAAAAAAAAAAAAAAAAAATTACATAAATAAATAAATAAATAAAATAAATAAAACCCAGGAGAAACAAAATAATACACCGCCTCCTGGAGAACATCAGCAAAAACAAAAACGAATAAGGGTAAAACCCCCTGGTGCAAAAAAAAAAAAAAAAAAAAAAAAAAGACAACAACCAAAATACCAATGACACATGAAATATCCCTCTAAGAGACCATTTATCATAATGTCTAAGAGACATTGTCAATGTACCGCAAAAAGGGACCCCAGACCTGCTCAAAAATATCTTCTCTTCCCTTCATTCTATACATAACCCGTTCATATGATGCCATCCTAGACATTTGTTCGGTCCATTCCTTGAAAGAACAGGGGCTGGATGACTTCCAATGCCTAAGAATTACCCTGCAACCAGTTATAAAAGCCAGACGCATCCACAATCTCTGTTTTTTTGAGAGAATGTTATCGTCAGGTAGTAGGCCCAGGACGCATATAGCTGGAGATTTAGAAAGATTAAGTTTAAAAATATCATTCACCAAGTTGATGATCCCATCCCACAAATAATCATTTTTCCGACATGTATACAACATATGAACTAGAGTCCCGACTTCCTGCTGACATTTCCAACAAATGTCCTTATCTGCGAGCTTCAACCTGACTAATTTACTGGGTGTCCAATAGTTTCTGTGAAGCAACTTGTACTGGATAAGTTGAGACTGTGTTTCAGGTGAGCAGACATACCATGATGAGATCAGCATCTTCCAACTGTCCTCTGAGATCTGGATACCCAGATCTTTCTCCCAACACCGCCTCAGTCCCCCAAACTGGGAGCGTGTGCCTCTCTAAAGCTCCCATAAAATTTAGATGCCCTGATTCTGTTATTGTCAGGGGTTGCAAACATCTTCTGAACACTAGATGGAGGGTCTAGATTATTTTTCAAAATGGCTTTAATACAATGTCTTATTTGAAAAAACCTCCAAATTTCCCTTGGATCCAAATTGAATTCTCGTCTGATTTCTGCAAACGATTTCATGCCAGTCTGCCCAAATAGGTCCCCCATCTGATTAATACCTGTCCTAGCCCAGGCCTCCCACCAGACCGGTTTCTTACCTATTAATACTTTCTTATTATACCAAATAGAGGCTCTAGCGGTGAGATAAGGGCTGCTGTTGGTATATTGGTGAGCTCTAAGCCAGGTCTCTTGCATGAAAGACAGTACTGGATCTTTAAACGGTACTGGCCTTCCCTTCTGAGTAAGGAAGGCCTCTAAAGACGAAGGGGCCACAAGACTTTCCTCAATCCCAACCCATGATGGCTTATCAGTAGAGGAATTATGTATCTTAACTAACTGAGAGAGGGAGAAAGCATAATGATACCAGACCATCTTAGACAATGCCAACCCACCACTCTCTTTAGCAGCATATAATTTAGACCGATTGAACAATGGCTTTTTACCTGCCCACACAAAACCCTCTACACATGTATTATAAAGCTTTAGCAAATTATGTGGGACTGCTATCGGTAACATGTGAAGAAAGTACTGAAGTTTAGGGGCAATAATCATCTTCACCAAATTAATTCTGCCCAAAAGGGACAGATTTATTTTAACCCAATTCTGCAACAGCGAACGGATGTTTTGAATCACTGGGGAAATATTTACTTTCATTATGTTGTCTAAACCAGGGGTCAATTTAATCCCCAAATAAGTCAGACCCTCGGGCATCCACTTGAAATGCCATGAACTCCTCATAACAGGCGGACACAATTTAGAAATAGGCATAGCTTCAGACTTAGACCAATTTATAGTGTATCCAGAGATTACAGAGAAAGAATCAATAATTGAGGAAATTGCAGGAACGGCCTGTTCTGGGTTAGTTGAAATCAGTAAAATATCATCTGCATACAAAAAGTTTTATGTTCTTCTTGACCCAAATCCACCCCTCTAATTTTCTTACATTCACGTAAAGCTATGGCTAAAGGCTCCAAAAACAGAGCAAAAATGAGAGGTGATAAGGGTGAACCTTGTCTAGTACCCCGACTTAACGAAAATGAGGGTGACATTATCCCATTGGTAATAACTGTAGCCATTGGATCAGTGTATACCACCTGAATCCACTGCCTAAAAAAGGGACCGAAACCAAATCTCTTCAAGGTATGAAACAGAAAAGGATACTCAACTTTATCAAAAGCTTTCTCTGCTTCCAAAGAGAAGGCAACGACAGGGTCTAGCTTAGTCCTGCTCTTCCAGAGTATATGCAATATCCTACGTAGATTATCCGCAGAGCTTCTATTTTTCACAAAACCGACCTGATCCCTATGCACCAAATACGGAAGAACTTTTTCAAGCCTAAAAGCTAATATCTTAGAAATAATTTTTTCATCCACATTAATTAATGAAATTGGGCGATAATTCCCACAATGCTGTGGGTCTTTCCCTTTTTTATGTAATAACGTGATCACTGCCGATCGCATACTAAACGGTAGTCTCCCTCTTTGAAACGCATCTTGATATACCGACAGTAGTCTTGGAGCTAGTTCGTCCACAAACACCTTATAAAAATCTGATGGAAATCCATCATTACCTGGAGATTTACCCACTCTAAGGCTGCCGATTGCCTGCTTAACTTCAATTAATGTAATCTTACCTTCTAATATACTTCTTTGATCTTCCGACAGGCTGGGAATTTTAATAGAAGAGAAGAAATCTGACAGCCTCTGTTCCTCACCAGTCCATTAGAAGTGTACAGCTCCTGATAATATTTAGTAAAAATATCATTTATTTCTTTTTACTAGTAGTCAACTTATTATTATTACTAGGATCAAAAATAGATGGTATAAGGTTACTAGATTTTATCTGCTTAACCCTGTGTGCCAACATTTTACCTGTTCTCTCCCCTTGTTCAAAGTACTTCTGATTTAGACAAAACATTGCATATTCCACTTTTTTCTCCAATATGCTATTCATCTCAAATTTAAATTTAATTAATTTGTTCCATAAGTCCCTCTCTGGGAGCAACATATGTTGTTTTTCAAGCTCCTTGATATCCTGTTCCAACTTCATCAGCTTATCCCTCTCAGCTTTTTTAATCAAGGAGCAATATTGAATAAGGCGCCCCCTCAAATAGGCCTTAAAAGCATCCCAGGTCATTCCAACGTCGTCAATAGAGCCCTCATTGTACAACCAAAACTCCTTTATCATTTCCCTTATACATTCGCAATGACCCTTATTCTTCAATATTGAGTTATTCAAGCGCCACCTAGGTGACGGTTTAATATTATCAGTGTCAGTAAGAACAAGGTCAATGGGAGCATGATCCGATATAGCAATGTTACCAATAGAGGACCCAATAGTTTGACTTGCCAAAGAACGGGACACCAAAAAATAATCTATCCTGGAGTAGGTTGAGTGAGGATGCGAAAAAAAGGTATAATCTCTTTCTTGAGGATGAAGAAGTCTCCATATATCTACTAGACTCAGTTCCTCTGACATCACGTCCACCGCAGCGTTTGTTGGGTCCTTGCTTAGTCCAGTACAAGAAGATTTATCCAATAAGACATCCCTGACCCGGTTAAAATCTCCCCCAATTACAATGTGTGTGTTACCTATAGTCCGCACCATGTTACAGACTTCATGAAAAAATTGTGGCTGAGGAGAATTAGGAGCATATATATTGACCAATGTCATTTTCCGCCCCTGTAAACATGCATCCAAAACCACCCATCTACCCTCCTGATCTGTATAATGCTTAAAGACCTGAAAATCCAAGTTTCTTCTAATCAATATGACCACCCCTCTTTTTCTAGCCGAAAATGCACTAAAATAAACTTGCGCCACCCAGTCTCTTTTAAGCTTTAATGATTCGGCCTCATCAAGATGGGTCTCCTGAATCAGGGCTATATCAGTCTTTTTCTGTTTCAGATATGTGAGGATTTTCTTCCTTTTAATAACATTATGACAACCCGCTATATTCCACGACACAATTTTACATAACTCCATAACACCATGTGAGCCGAATTATTATACAAATTTATCCAGAGGAATATCCCATTTACCCATAAAACAACTCTTAGAGCCAGTAACATGAGACAGCCCAATGATCCAAAAATTAGGTCTATACAGGACAGTTGGTACCATACCATCAAAACCAACAACAAAACCAAACACGAGAAAAGAGAAAAAAAAAAAAAAAAAAAAAAACAAACAAAAAAAACAAAGAACATGAAAACATAAAAAATCGCAGGTCCGTGGCACTCAAAAAAATTCCCAGATGGTGTCCCTCCTTACGTCTCCCCCCCCCTCAGAAGTAAACCAACCCATAGCTTATCAATCCTCTTAATCTACATCACCCGGAATGTTAACCAAATCCAGGCCGCTTAGAAATTGCTTAGCCTCAGCTGGGTTGGAAAACTGATGATACTGGTTATCCACTGAAAAAGTCATAACAGCCGGAAAACGAAGAGAATAGCCAATCTTGTACTGTTGCAACAAGCGGCGCACCTCATCAAACTTCCTGCGTTTTTCTTGTACCTCCTGAGCGTAATCCTGGAAAAAAAGAACTCTCATGCCTTTCCAAACGATCTGCCCCTTTTTTCTGGCAGCCGCCAGCACGGACATCTTGGCTTTATCCCGTAGGAAGCGAACAATAATGTGTCTCGGTCTAGAGTCCGCAGTGGGCTTCGGAAAAGCTGGCCCCACTCGATGGATTCTATCTATTTCGTAGTAATCTCCCATCTCAATGTCCAGAGCTTCAGACAGCAGATTCTTCACGTAATCCTCAATATTACTGCCTTCGGATCCTTCTCTAATACCCGATATTCTAATATTCTGGCGCCGTGAGGAACCCTCAAGCGCCGTTACTTTTTCCTGCAGCCGCTGGTTCTGTATCTTCAAGATCTTACATATTGAGCTGGCTTTAGCCTCTTCGTCCTCCAATCGAGAAATTCTTGTCTCTGTTTCATCCACTCTCACACCCAAACTGTTCACAGCTTCCTTGAGAGACTCGATACCACCTTTCACCGCCGTCATGTCTTGTGCTACCTGCTCAAGCAGAGATCTTATAGAAGTCAGCTCGGCCGCCACACCATCTTGGGAAGGACACCTGGCATCGACTCCATCAGGTGTCTCCGCCATAGTAGTTAGTGAAGTAGCCTGAGTGTTGTGTGTTTTTCCTCGCGGCATAATCGAATCGTTGCGTAAAACGTAATGATTCTTCTGACTCCTTCCACTGAATTTACCAGGGCAGATCCCAAATAAGACAAATAACCAGCTCTGACCTATTTTTAACGAGGTTTCGGGGGAAGAGGAGTGCGCGTCTCCAACTTAAGCTGCCATCTTGGGCGGGCGTACCACGTGACTCAAAAAAAAGATAGTTGTTTCTTTCCTATAGAAAGACTCAGTGGGCATAGATGGGAAAACAGCCACTTTTGAGTCCCTACTGTCAGCCTGGTGCCTACGTACAGTGGGGCAAAAAAGTATTTAGTCAGCCACCGATTGTGCAAGTTCCCCCACTTAAAATGATGACAGAGGTCAGTAATTTGCACCAGAGGTACACTTCAACTGTGAGAGACAGAATGTGAAAAAAAAATCCATGAATTCACATGGTAGGATTTGTAAAGAATTTATTCGTAAATCAGGGTGGAAAATAAGTATTTGGTCACCTCAAACAAGGAAAATCTCTGGCTCTCACAGACCTGTAACATCTTCTGTAAGAAGCTTTTCTGTCCCCCACTCGTTACCTGTATGAATGGCACCCGTTTGAACTCATCATCTGTATAAAAGACACCTGTCCACAGCCTCAAACAGTCAGACTCCAAACTCCGCCATGGCCAAGACCAAAGAGCTTTCGAAGGACACCAGGAAAAGTATTGTAGCACCAGACTGGGAAGAGTGAATCTACAATAGGCAAGCAGCTTGGTGTGAAAAAATCAACTGTGGGAGCAATCATCAGAAAATGGAAGACATACAAGACCACTGATAATCTCCCTCGATCTGGGGCTCCACGCAAGATCTCATCCCGTGGGGTCAAAATGATCATGAGAACGGTGAGCAAAGATCCCAGAACCACACGGGGGGACCTGGTGAATGACCTGCAGAGAGCTGGGACCAAAGTAACAAAGGTCACCATCAGTAACACACTACAACGGCAGGGAATCAAATCCCGCAGTGCCAGACGTGTTCCGCTGCTGAAGCCAGCGCATGTCCAGGCCCGTCTGAAGTTTGCCAGAGAGCACATGGATGATACAGCAGAGGATTGGGAGAATGTCATGTGGTCAGATGAAACCAAAGTAGAACTTTTTGGTATAAACTCAACTCGTCGTGTTTGGAGGAAGAAGAATACTGAGTTGCATCCCAAGGACACCATACCTACTGTGAAGCATGGGGGTGGAAACATCATGCTATGGGGCTGTTTTTCTGCCAAGGGGACAGGACGACTGATCCGTGTTAAGGACAGAATGAATGGGGCCATGTATCGTGAGATTTTGAGCCAAAACCTCCTTCCATCAGTGAGAACTTTGAAGATGAAACGAGGCTGGGTCTTCCAACATGACAATGATCCAAAACACACCGCCCGGGCAACAAAGGAGTGGCTCCGTAAGAAGCATTTGAAAGTCCTGGAGTGGCCTAGCCAGTCTCCAGACCTCAACCCCATAGAAAATCTGTGGCGGGAGTTGAAAGTCCGTGTTGCTCGGCGACAGCCCCAAAACATCACTGCTCTCGAGAAGATCTGCATGGAGGAATGGGCCAAAATACCAGCTACTGTGTGTGCAAACCTGGTAAAGACCTATAGTAAACGTTTGACCTCTGTTATTGCCAACAAAGGTTATGTTACAAAGTATTGAGTTGTATTTTTGTTATTGACCAAATACTTATTTTCCACCCTGATTTACGAATAAATTCTTTACAAATCCTACCATGTGGATTCATGGATTTTTTTTTCACATTCTGTCTCTCACAGTTGAAGTGTACCTCTGGTGCAAATTACTGACCTCTGTCATCATTTTAGGTGGGGGAACTTGCACAATCGGTGGCTGACTAAATACTTTTTTGCCCCACTGTAGCTGTGGGAAGAAAACCAGCGGAAGAAAACTACCAAGCAAAGATTGTATTCATGCAGCAGGTATAAAGGAGCTGTAATTGTTTGTTTCATCATTAACACTGGTCTAAAAAAAAACCAAGTTCAGTCTACGTTTACCAGGGCAAAAAAAATCAAGCTTTAACATGAACCTACCTATCCCAGCTGAAACGAGAGTTCCAGAGAAGCTGATTGTTCTTTTTTTTACTTAATTTGGTTTTCCCAAAACATTTGTCGCACTGAAGTTGGGATTCCCCCCCACACCATTTTCATGCTTATACAAAAAAAACCTGCAGGTTTTCTTGTGTTCGAGCAAATGACTGAAAAGAGTGTCCAACATATGAGAGCAGTCATTGCTGAAAGCTCAGCTGATAAAGAACCCCAAGTAAAAGGTTTTGTTTTGTTTTTTTAAACAGAGAATGAAGATGGGGGTAGACTGATCACAAGGACAGAAAGTATGCGCTGGTTAATGCAGAAGGAAAAAGTGGCAGGAGGACATCATAATCCACAGAATCCTCATAACCTCATGAGGCAGTTCCTGTTTTGATCCCTCACTGGTACCTCGGACACCAGTATCACGATTAAAACAGTCCACAACACAACACTCAACTGGGCCAAGTTACACAAGGTGTACTAAGTAAATACCGCCAGACAGAAATACGAAGCACGGTTAAAAAGCACACAAAAGCACTTCAAAGAGCAGAGTTACAGATTAACTCGTGTTACAGATTAACTCACCGACAACTTGCTATTCAGGAGCCGCCACAGACAAACTGGAAATAAACGAGTGAATATTTGGTCTTTAGAGATGTATTTCTTTTGCGTTTTATGTGTCTGCTGACACTTTGTTTTAGACAAAAAAAAAAAAAAGACCTGGAGTTTACCTGGTGACGGTACGACGCAGAGGAACGATCCAGGTGTCTGCGCTGATCCGTGTTCGTAATTCCGCAGACGTTGAACTGTTGGGTGGTGAGGGCCGGCTTGAAACACGTGATCAATGACGCTTGATTCAACACGTTACTGCTCCATGCCTGATTCAAGGGTTTCTAAGGGATTGAGTTTTGATGGGATTTGTGCTTTTGGTGGGGATTTTGTGCGAGAGATGAGTCTCAGTATTTGCGACTTAATGAGAGGCATGGAGAGTTGTGCTCCAATTCGAGAGAATTGTGTTCTAGGTTGGAAAAATTGTGCTTATAGGTTGGGAGAATTATGCTCCAGGTCGGGGGAACTTGTGTTTTAGGTTGGGCCAATTGTGCTCTGGGTTGGGAGAATTATGCTCCAGGTCGGGAGAATTGTCTCCTAGGTTGGGAGAATTGTGTTCTAGGTCGGGACAACTTGTGCTCTGGGTTGGGAGAATTATGCTCCAGGTCGGGGGATTTGTCTCCTCAGTGAATGGTTTTGCTATAAGTCTGAATAGTTTTAGAGATTGTGCTACAGGAATCACAGTTAGGGTTTAAGCATTCAGAAAAAACTGTAACATCCTTCATTATTCACTAGACAGAAGTCCTGTGAGGAAGAAGTGTCAGAGCCGGCTTGAAAACAAATCCACTCAGCTCCTGCAAGCATTACACCCTCGGACAAACTGCTGGCAGCACAGCCTCACTGGTGTGAAACCACGATGTCATACCCAAACGCGTGGCTGAATCGATTCAGTGACAGCGCGGTGCGCGCTCTCATTGACATGAAGAATTTCCTCCACTGGCTGAGCAGCAGAGTTTTCTGCACCTGCGGGCAAATTCTGTATTCGGTCACGACCAGGCTTCCACCTCTGACTATGACCATTCAGCTGCCTGGGATCACTTTCACGTTACAGAGAGATGGCCAAGTTCGAAGGATCACCGTTGACCTGCCCCCTGTGTGAAGGATGAACGCAAAGACGCATGGAGTTGGACGTCCAAGCATTATCCGTGTGCTCGGTTTAAAAGAAGAGTTACCCACGAGAATTTGTCTGTTAAGTTTCAGAGTTTTCATAAAGTGATGACACAGATTAAAAATATACTCTCAACTGTAAGAAGGACATCTTTATTTATTATAGCACACACGCAGAAAACGTGTGCGTTATTGCAGAGAGTATATAACGCGAGGTGGAAATAGCGGATAAGATGCATTGTGATTGACATGTGATGCTCATGTATATGCTGGTGATCGTCAATAAAGCTTCTCTCTCTTGCGAATGAGTTCAAGTGAGAAAATGGATTGTGGCTATTGTGTGTTTATTTCCTCCACAGTTGTCCTCGGAGCAGTCTAGATATTCGCGCCAGAATTCCTGCGTATTTTCACCTCTGCTAACAGGTTATGGGCGCAGAGTAGCTAAGACTGCCTAGAGAAAGTGAAGTGTTTTGCCACCTAGGGCGCCACCGCTGCCCTGAGAAATGCTGGTGAGCCATTGAGCGAGGGGCAATGTGTAGCACTGGTTCGCAAGAAGTGCCAGGATCATGTCACACAAAGTGAATTTGCAATGACTTTTGCCGAATTCATTGGGAAACTATGGAGCTACGAGAGCACTGAGAGAGTGGGCGCCAGCACATCAGAGAACAGCGTGCACGGCCGGCTTCAAAACCCGCGTGTGAAAATACAAACGAGCCAGTAGCCAGGAACACGAACATGTGTGTTCCCTTTAGTGCACAACTGTGTAGTCCAGATGCGGACTAAAGGGACACAAGGCTAGAAGGTGTCAGCGCGAGCAGTGGCGGAGCGAGTGTTAAAGCCACTGCTGGCGCTGATACTTTGTGGCTATGTGTGAGCGCACGAAGGTCTCCTAGGTTGGGAGAATTGTGTTCTAGGTCGGGACAACTTGTGCTCTAGGGTTGGGAGAATTATGCTCAGTATTTGCGACTTAATGAGAGGCATGGAGCCAAAGAGGAAGAGAGGACGTGCTAATGTTCCTAAATAAACACCAGGTCATCAGCGATTCTTCCTCCGGGTCTAAAATGTGCATAAGAAATACACTGTTCATATAGTTACAGTTGTAATTGTGTAAGTTGCAGTGTATTATATATAAACGTACCTGTCCACTGGTTAAATACACAATTACTAGGAGGCAGGGACCTCTCAGCACAAGCATACTCCCAGCCAGACATGGGCAGCAACGCGTTACTTGTAACCCGTTACTTGTAATGCGTTACTATATTCTGATTATTTTTTTCAAGTAAGGAGTAAAGTAAGGGATTACTATTGCAAAATCGGTAATTAGATTGCCATTACTTTCCTGTAGTAACCCTGCGTTACTGCGTTACTAAAACCGTGATTTTTTTGCAAGAATGTCTCATGACAGTGACGTAAGTGAGTGCGCCGTTGGTGTTTGACTTAATGGGGCAGGATGTTTGTTTAAGTGGGCATTGGCCACTCTTGCCCCAGAGGGGGCAGGACTAAAATGGAGCTTTAAGAAAGTAAAGTTTTAAAAATAAAAACAAACATACTTAAAACAACAAATAATGACTGAAGGGCTCATTTGAACAGTCCAATACTGCTCACTATAGTAAAACAGCTGTTAGAGCAATCTCACATCTTTACTTCGTGATCATTTTACAGCTGTCTTGTAATACTGTCTTGACAGTATACAGTATATGCTATTTGTGCTATAAAGTTGATATGAAGTTGGATTTTAGTGAAAGTGAATGAATCTAAGCATCATCAACTAAACGATTAATCTCTGCTACGCTTTAAGTAACATAACTCTGACCATGAGCACCACAGCCACTGTGCATGAGTTACGCACTGTTTACTCAGCAGTGTTTACTGTTACTGTTTACTTTATATCCTTTACAGTACTGGAAAGTGCGTTCATGCAACCTTTACATAACACAATGTTTGCTTACCAAGTTTGTTTTGCAGGACTTTTACATATACAGAGCCAATATCCTTACCTTCCTCTCCTGTCTTTCTTATCTTTCTCTGTCTCTGAGTGAAGTTAGCTCTCTTTCCTTTTTTTTCACCATAACAACACCAGCTCACCAATAATAAATTATATGGTTTTGCCTTTTTCATCATTTTGTATACACAATTAGGACTGTCTTCCATGTGTTACAGTTTAGGCTCAAATCGGTTTGACGTTTGATGCCGTGCAATAACTCTCCTCAAATGACTTAAAATTTTTATACATTTAGAAGCATGAAACCGTCATTAATGGGCATAGTTGCTTCATCCAGTCTTCTTTGATTGAAAGACTCCTTTGTGCAGCCAAACACTGCCCTCTACAGTTAAACACATGTCAGCACAGCCTCACATTCTTTATTTTACAATCAGAATACTTTATTAGTCCCTAAGAAAAGTATGTAATGTGTTCTAATCAATTATTTCTTGATTATTGGTAACTTGTTTTTAACCTCCAGGAGCTGTTCAGAAAATAGGTGGTTAATATCAAATCTTCTTATGTTCTCTGAGCAGGCTGGGGGGTGAATATCGGCTGCTGCTCAAGAGTTGCATGCTGGGGTTTTTTCTCCATCTCCTGTCTCTTTGACAAAAAAGAAAAAAAGAAAATGGAAATTAGCATCTGTATTTTTCTTTATTGACATGTCTCTTTTAATCCTTTAATTGATGCTTGCATCTTGCATGAGACTTATAAGTACAGTGTATGTAAAATGAAATGAAATGAAATTTAAAATAAAAAAAGCAGTTACATTTCTGATCATTCTGAAAATGTCCTCACTATAGGACATCTTATTGGGTATTTTGTTATTCAAATATATGTCATTGTGAGCTGCATGTCTTGTGTCTTTAATTTTTAGTCAAAGAACAGAGAGATAACTCCCAGGCCTGAAAACATGATTCAAGATCCAATAAACTCAGAGAAAACTTGAACGCAGCAGTAACTTTGTCAGACTGGTGATCCTCCACTGCCAGGAAACAAATGACAACTATTTAATACAGCTTCTGTAGCACAATATGTGTTCATCATAGGACTTCTAAAGGAAAGGTACTTATCAGTCTGGCATTGGTATTTTATATGAGATGTTAGTCTCATAAGACATACAGCATATCCTTGATATACCATGATTAATGAATGAGAATTCAGTAAACTCAGTAAACAGATCTTGCCACTTTCACTGTATGCCATACTGCCTATGAATCCTAATAAAATGGTCATGCATATTTTATTGTCTAGTGTCTCATTAAAAAAAGAAAACAGCCCTCATCTCAGTTTTGTACAATTGAACAGCAAATGTAATGTGTAATTATAATGGATGATGATGCTTTTAGTTTTTGTGTATATGAGCAGAAGCATGATTGCATTATTAAAGTTCAGGGGATTGTGAATAAACTCAAAAACAGGTGATCCTAGCTGTTGTGTACAACAGTCACGCTGTCAGATTTTCATTACAACTTAGTCAGTTGTCACAACCAAAATAATTGTTATTCGCTGCGATATCTGTAGCGCTTGTGAGGGGCAAAAAGAAAGAAAAAGGTGAAATCTTATTAGTAATTACATTATAATAAATGGTCACCATCTCATCCTGCTCAGAGAACATGACAAGATTTAACATTAACTATGAACTGCATTAACTACTACAGGTTACACCTAAAATCATCAAGAAAAAGAACATGGGGCTGTAATAACATCTGCTTTGCTGCAGAGGGCAGTTTTGGTCTGTAAAATAGAGTCCTTCAAAGATTTATATGCCATATACATGTTTTCTCTTTAATTGGAAAAATATACATTATATAATTTTCCCAATATTCCAGTGTAATTTTATTCATCTACCTTCATTAACCTGGAAAACACCAAGTTGACGAAGGGGAGGGTGCTGCTGTAGGTGTTCCACATACATTTCCAGTTCTGACAGGAGCAATATATCAATAAAATGTGGGGGGGAAAAAAACGCGTCAGGGAAATTTTCCATCATTTCATCACAGGATGACAGCAAAGGGAATGTGTAATCAAAGCTGTATCAGCTGCTCTGGCATTGACGTAACACCTAATAAACTAGTTGGTATCTGTTTCCACGCAAATGAACAAATTCAGAAAATGTGTAG